AATTTAAAGGTATTTTCGACTTTTCACACCTGCAGTTTAACGGCGTTAGAGCCCAAACTGACGACAGTGGCATGGAGGGCAAAAAAAAGTTGGAGCAGTGACACTGAAGACCGTTGATTTTTTCCAGGGACATACAGGACACTACGATCTTTTTTTAATGGTACAAGGAATTCCCACCTTATTTTATGGTTTGATTTGGCATGAACCACGGCATGTGCGCTCGCGTGCATGTGGTACTTGGCACGAGAAAAACTGCTCTATCCTAGCGCCACCGCACATGCCCGGTGCTGCCGCTATCCTGCACTGCAAGGACATCAGACGGATCGGGCGGGATTGGGTTGGCAGCTGACGGGCAGGACGATGGACGAGAGCGCGACCAGCCTGACCCCTCCATTGGTGGCTGTCGCGACCAAACATTATCTGTATATACCAACCAGCAACAGCAAGTACAACCGCACGTATACAATCTATAATCTATATACTCACTAGGTAGCGTACATATGCGTTGCCACGGGATAGCTAATATTTTATACTAAAAATACATGGATTGCACAATAAAATAACAATACTGTAAAAATTAAATATCAATGTTAAAGTGATATTTAATCCAAAAAATAAAGTTCGTGAAATTAACACAGTCACGGAGAGCACGACGTCGCAGACTCACAAACTCTACTGTATAGATCGTTTCGTGATGCAGCTAAGATAATATTTTATATCGACAGAAAGAAATCTCCAATATCCATTTCTTTCGTGCACTATAAAACACGAATAAGTTTCGCTGCATCTCCATACCATCATGTATACATGTTTGAGTATACATGTAAATATAGTGCCTGTCACATGGGTAATACTGCGTGTCTTGAAAAATCTCGCACAAAACCTTAAACAATGTTATACTTACCGTATAAATGTGTGTGGCTTTAGAACTATTTCACGCAGACATATAATGTAGAATAAGGTATCCACTTAGGTGCCTGTGTCAAGATTCACCATCAGCAATATGCAGAAATAGTAATATCATAGGTATTATTATTGCAAGTGACAGTGATTCTAACTTAGTTAACCATCTATATCATCTTCAATGTGTTTTTCACAAATGAATTTCCATTTGAAGATATCCTCGTTCCATATAGGAATATGTACATTCACTGTGGCCATGTACTGCAAGTTAAATCCAAGAGTTTGCCTAGCATACTTCAGCACTGATGTGTCTTTATATCACTTTTCAACGGGTCTAGAGTCAATCACATATGTTCTTGTGAGTTTAGAAACTTCTATTGTTATCTTTCTAATATTATATTATGACAATACGAGAGATAGCCCCATGCATGATTTTATTTCAACATACCAATATGGGGTAGCAAGCAAAAACATTTACAATGAGTACATGGCACAATATGCAAGTCCATTATATAGCGAGTCCATTACCAAATTAGGCATTAAAAAATCAATCTTCAACTAACATATATTGAGCAGGGTTTATAAACGTGGTTAAAACAGTATAGTGGCTCATTGGATGATCTCCTTGTGCCAACCGTGGTAAAGGGTGAAGGCGGTGCAGTGTGCACTACTATTTCTCTCTTCCAAAATTGTCTTATGTCAAAATCTAAGTGGTTTCATAGTATCATTTTAATTTGACAGCTAAGGTCATTGCCTCATGTTTCATTAATGGAGTTTGCTGGTACCTTAGGAGCACATCAGCTAGTCTTCATATACATGAATTAAACAAGAATAAATTTAACCCCAAATTTTCCAGCAGCCTGGTACCTTAGCAGCACAGTTAGTCTTCATATACATGAATTAAACAAAAATAAATTTAACCCAAATATCCCATAAGCACCACTAGTTAATAAATCAATCTTGTAAGAACCAAATCTAGTTGGAATTTGAGTGCCACAACCACATACCTCACTGTGGAATTTGTAGGCTGGCATAAATCCAGAAATAACTTGCAATGCCTTGAAGCGGATTAAAACATTTGATTTGTGATGCAATTTGACAGTGTGTCCGCACAGCTGGTCATGATCTGCCATTTTGACAAGCTTGACAAGCTTGCATAGGCTGCTGGTTGCAATCAGCTACCTTAGTTTCACAAAGGGATAATAATAAAAATGGCTGCACAAGTAAAAACAAGGACATAACAGTGAGAAATTAATGAAACAAATAAAAGCTAATGAAAACCGAGTTAGATACATATTAGTAAATTAGATGGTTAGCACATTTGTATTATTATTAGTATGTTAAGAAGCTTCATTTTGACTGTGAGAAAATTAATATACACCCTCTCCAACCGAACCAAATATATATAGCTCAATGCATCACAAAATTTCACCTCTACCGAAACAATGAATCATAAATAGTCAATCCATTCTCTAGTTAATTTTTTAAAGTTACTACCAAAATCAGAAGTACTTTGAGAGGTAGATTTCAGTTTCACTCATAGGAACTGTTATGAGCTCATAGATTGGGTCCTACCAAGGGCATCCTTGCTGCTTCATGATTGGAGATGTGAGCGACCTTGCTTGCAGGGTTGACCTCCTTCCAGGTTCATGCTGCGTCAGCCTCCTCGCCCAGGGCCACCTTCGATGCGTCGTGCCCGAGGTTACAGTTGCAAACATTACATATTACCTTTTTTATGGACACTAATGGCACCAGATGTCTGGACATTCTAGTAAAAAAATGAAATATGTACTTGTATAAAACCAAAACCACTATCTAAAGCGACATTTTGAATTAGATCAAATTCAATACTTATCTTTGTGGATACGTACCTTTTCTACATATAGTTTTCATATTCATTATACCAGGTACTAATAGAATAGCTGATATCTTGACATGAAGTTTTAAAGGATAGCCACAATACAAGCAACTACAGATTCGCTAGTGTATTCCACGGCTAAACCATGTGGTGGAGATGGTAGTTAATGAGAGGGGTGAACTGGCACAAACATGTGTTCTAAATCAAGAGGGCTAATTTAGCATCTAGTTATGAGCAGTAATCTAATGTTGCATAATCAGAAAGATACTGAGCATTCCTTGATTTCTTTCATTAATTTCCACATTATGCAAAGCTGTCAAAACAAGTTGCACACTTCGGTTTCATGATTATAAGGTAAAAATCACCACGATTTTGCACTTTTTTCTACTAATAACAGTAGGCGAACCACCTCATCAAGAAACCTGCTCGAGTAAATCCCCTGAACTAAGGACGAGACTTAACTGGACATGGACATCGAATGGAGCCAATTCGTTCTAGAACAGGAACAACACAAGAAAATAGAGGAAATTAAACTGAATCACTGTACCTTGCCTTTGCCGACCTCAAGGTAGGCCCTCATGGCGCTAGGCCGCTGCTTCCCATCAACCATCCCTGGGTAGGATTGGGAGCCCGCTCGCCACCGCGTGCTCTTCCTCACCCGCCGCTGCCTCGTCCTCCTCGATGTTGCCGATCTCTGACGCTGATAGACTGACAGCTCCTCCGCTTCTTCCACCCGTGCTCATCCAGTAGGTCCAAGTCGCCTTCCAGCATGGTTCATATACCAATTCGTCCAGCATGCCCGAGTCATCGTCATCGCTAGGTCCAGCCACATCGCCGACACGGCGAGCGCTAGGACTACGAGCAGCAGAAGCGCCCCAACCCGCCGTGCCCACCTCGTGCTCAAAATGCGCGGCGCCGCAACCTCCCTTCCCTCCCTGGATATCTCCTTTCCACTCCTCCGAGATCTGGATCCAGCAGAGCCAGCGTGCACAAAGCATCACCGCCACAACGGAATCGAAGGGATCATAGCAAGGTGGACGGGAGGCGTGCGCCGCGATGCCCTAAGCAGCGCGGAGGGTGACGGGGCAGGGCAGGGTCGGGGCTCCTGCTGGTTGGAGTGGCAGCGCGAGGGGAGGGTGAGAGGTGGCATCAGTGTGGGCGATGGCGATGACTGCCGCCCGAGATCAATGACTGCTGCGATGCTGATTGGCCGCAAGGTTTACTTTTGGGTGGCGATGCACGAGGTTTCACTTTTGCGTGCTCCAGCGATGGCGGCGTTTGCGCGAGCTTTCCTTCTACGTGCGCGTGCGATCGCAGGATGGAGTCACGGTATCGCACGGCGTCGGCAGAAAGGCGACCCAAAAAAAAATCGCACGAAAAGATTGTCTTACTTTTGTTCTTTTTTGTTGTAGGAGATGAATCTAAACCCCACTAAATGTTCTATCTCCACTAACTTACAATGCTTTTATGCAAACTATCAATGTTATTTCTCATTAATTATAAAAAAATGTCCACATCATCTTTATTACGTGTAATACTTTTAATCCTTAATCTATTAATACACGTCATCTACAAATGTTCTTTGTTTCATCATCTATAATGTGATATAATATTTTATTGATTTCTTACCAATTTTACCAAATCTGATACAATACAATAGCATGCCAGCCATATATATATATATATATATAGATAGATAGACGTGCTGTTCTGTAGCTAGCCGCACAATAAGTTATTTTGTGGCCACTTTGAGTTATGATAATTACTAATTTATGAGATTATGATAACTCTCTCATAAGTGATTTACTATAGCATTACGGTAAGTATCATATTGAATTATAATAACCCATGTATCGTAAATGTGTATTGTCATTATCGTAAATTGGTACAAACATTATCATAAATCAAGGTGGTTATAAAATAAGTTATTCTATGGCCAGCTGTAGAATAGCCTTACCGTGTATATATATATATATATATATATATATATATATATATATATATATATATATATATATATATATATATATATATATATATATAGTATCTAGGGTCCATATAGTAATACACTCTATGTAATAATTTTATTTTTAAGAAAGTCCCGTGGGGATATTCTTCTACAGTCCTCCTCAGTGTACCATCTAATAATGCTCTCTATGTATAACAATTTTGTTAAGTTCAGCGGCAACGGGGGGAGTATTCTTCAGTATAATGTTATACAAAAGCACCACTAGTGATCTCAATATGAGCATGGAACACGCGGCGTGGCGCGCAGCACGAGCTTGGACTTTCTCTTCACGGTGATCCCGAACGCCTCGCTCATGTCCAGCACCTTCCCGTCGCCGTCGCCGTCACCGTCCGGGAGCGTCCAGTCGAAGTGGTAGAGGAGGCCCGCGAGCGCCACCTCCATGTTGACGAGCCCCAGCGCCATGCCGGGGCACATCCGCCTGCCGGCGCCGAACGGGATAAACTCAAAGTCGACGCCTCTGAAGTCGACGCCTCCAGTCCCCTCGAAACGCTCCGGCCGGAACGACTCGGGGTCGTCCCAGTACGCGGCGTCCCTGGCGATCGCCCACGCGTTGACCAGCACCTTGGTTCCCCGGGGCACGTCGTAGCCCATCACCCGGCACGCCTCGCGGCACTCCCGCGGCAGCAGGAACGGCACGGGCACGTGCAACCGCAGCGTCTCCTTCACCACCAGCGGCAGGTACCTCAGCTTCGCCGTGTCGGCCTCGGCGAGCCTCTGCTGCCCCCTGAAGGCCTCCCGCACCTCGGCCTGAGCCCTGCGCATCGCCCGTGGGTTCCTCGTCAGCTCCGACAGCGCCCATTCCAGCGTCGTCGATGAGGTCTCGCTCCCCGCCGCGAAAATCTCGAGGACGACGGTGGAGATGACGTCGGTGGTGAGCGGGCACTGCGCGTCGTCGTCGCCGTCCCTCTGCAGCCTCAGCAGCACGGCCAGCAGGTTGTCTTCTTCGTCCTGTCCGCCGTCGGCGTTCTGCAGCTGCTCGCGGATGATCTCGCCCATGATGTCGCGCACGTTCCGGTTGCACTGCTCGGTCTCCCGCAGCGCGCGGCTGAGGCGGCGCACAAGCCGCGACGACGGGTACAGGTCGGTGAAGTTGAAGCCGGAGGTGAGGACCACGGCCCTGTGGAGCTCGCGCAGGAACTCGTCCCTTCGCGCGCACCGCCCGCCGACGGCCGACCGCACCACGGTGTCTGTCATGGCGCGGCAGACCAGCTCGCCGATGTCCACCACCGCGCTGCCTCCGCCGGCGGCGGCGCAGGAGTCGGCCACGGACCGGAAGAGCCTCGCAGCCTCCTCCTCCCGGATGCGGCGGAACGACTGCACGCGGCGCGCCGAGAAGAGCTCCAGCACGCAGATCCGCCGGATCTGGCGCCACAGCTCGCCGTAGGGGGAGAAGAGGATGTCGCGGCCCCCGATGGTCAACACGTCCAACGTCGGCGTCAGGTGCCGGCTGGCGAACGCCGCGTCGTGGGTCTTCAGCACCTCCCTGGCCGCCTCAGCCGAGGACACCACCAGCGTCGGCACGGCGCCCAGCCGGAGCAGCATCACCGGGCCGTGCCGGCCTGACAGCTCGCGCATCGCGCGGTGCAGGAGGCCGCCGTGGCGCGACGCGAGGAGGTGGTGGAGGCTGCCGATCACCGGCAGCTGCCGTGGTCCCGGAGGCAGGCGCAGCGGCGGCTTCCCGGGCTGCGACGGTGACGCCGCCTGGAAGTACTTGTGAACGAGCTTGATGAGGAGCACGGGTAGCGCGAGGAGCAGGCCCAGCAGTAGCATCGTCCCCTCCATTATTGGCCGGGAAACGTGCTGGTCTGTAGGAGTGCAGGAGTAGCTTATAAAAGAGAAGGGTACAAGCATCTTTGCAGCCTATTTTTCAGTCCAACCTCATAGAGCAAGTGCAACAATTGATTTATAGCCTAGCTAATTAATATTTTTGCTAAGGTGGAAGAGAGAAAGAAGAAGAGAGAAGAGAGCTCGGCTCTCATATAAGCAACAAGCTGGGCACTGAAGCATAGGTACTGGTGGGTCACAATATAGATGTATGTGAGGAGGAATAGAAAAGAAAATAAAACATATAATAATAAAGAAATTTTGTAGACAAATAGAAGCCTAATTATTGTATAGAGTGGCTCTTATAACTGATTTATAGCCAAGTCCTTAACTCTATTATTGACCTTTCTAATAGTTACCTCTTCATATTAATACATGACTCATCTGTCTCTCTCATAAAGTTTCTCTTTTTTTTTCTATAAACACGCCGTAAGCTTACAATTCGTTTCTCTTCTCTCCTCCTCTCTCTTTTCCATCTAGTGTTAAGTCTGCTTATAGCCTGTTATTATACTTGCTCTAAATAGAAGTGGTGGTTAAAATAACACTGGTTGAATTCAAATTTAACTCAACTCCCTTTCTTTGTCACCGAATCAAAAGGCATCCACTGGAGACAAAAATCTATAGTTGTACTGTAGCGAAGTGTTTTATTTCAGCTTGAATGGATCCACACAGATTCTGGAGACGGTAAGCAATCACTTTGTCTTATTTATAGTATTTACTACCAAATATGTCGGTGCGTTGTAACGAAACTTCGAGCATCTTTAAGAGTTTTCAATAAAATCTCTCAATCTAAGATTTTTAACAAGAATAGAAAAACTCATCTCCAACCGTTCCCAATCCTACTTTTCAATCTTTCCACGCTTGGAAAAATAGACCGATCGCGCAGATATATCCGCGCATCTATCACGCGTGTATCCATCAGGCCAATATAAAGGTGGAAGGGCGTGTGAAAGAATAAAAAGTAGAAAATGGCTCCTAATGCAAATGTACAATAGAGAAAGAATAAATAAAAGTGGTTAGGATAATTTAGAAATAGTATAGGATTCTTGATGTAAAATTGTCTTCTATATTTTACTACTAAATTATTGGAAATTATTGAAGATGATCTTATTAACTGTTCCAATAATTTTTGGCGAGTTGAAAAATTCTATGATTTTAGGAAGAAATTGTAGAAAACTCTTGGAGATGCTCTTAGGACGTGTTTGGCTTGTTACCAAACTGCACCGCAATCCGCCACAGTTTTGCATGTGTTTGTTTTGTTGCCGATGTTAAGGCACTGCCAGAACTCGTCAACACTACGTAAGTCAGTTTTTACGCCAAACCACGCCGAATCTGTGGCAAGCTATTTGTTCACCCAACTTTTGGCGTCGTCGTGACTTCGGTGCGGCATGCATAGGCGGCGTCCAAACTGACCCTTATATCCTATGTCATACATTCTAATACTTTTTTGGAACTCACTCTAATACATTTTGGAATTACAATCAGTAACATGGTTAAAGTGGGCAATTCTAACTCGTATGAGCATGTGTTGGGTTGGATCATGAACATGACATAAACCAATTAGAACTCTAATCTCTAATTCAGCATGGTTGTAAGTTCGGGTCCTGGGGACAATAAACCAAACAGACTTTAACTATTCTCTAATTCATCACGTATTATTACTAGTAAAATCGGATATGACTCTATCCTCTAGAGAGTGGAGGGACACACGGAAAATGAGGGAGGGCGTGATGGATGAAAAAAATAGAAGAGAAATTTTCAAATCACATAAATGATGCGGAATCTTTTCACCATATCTTTTAGTTTGTATTTTGTTTAATTCTTATTCTATGATCACATGAAAAAAGAATATAAGACAAAAAGAAATCGAATGAACTTAATCGGACCTAAAAAGGTCTATTATTTATTTTGAACGTACTATTATATTTATTTTGAACGTGAAATTCCATTATTTTATTTATTATTTTCTAACATTTATTTTTTAAAACAATAGACCATAGGACTATAGGAGCGGAGGAGGGTCGCGAGAAAAAAAAATTCTACCTAATCGGAACCAGAAATTTATATTTGATAAAAAGCGATCGCAGAAAAAAAAAAACCCAAACCATAACCTCCCAGATGTACGGAAGAGCTGAAAAAAAGGAATCCGACTCTCTTTAATATTGGAAATCTAACTCGTGAGTCTACTACATACGATATGATGAAGAGTATGATTCAATACGTCTTAGAATCGGACTCTATATTAGTAAAAAAAAAATCAGACTCCTTATTAACCATCCTCAAATGGAGCTGTTCTAACTCGTATAAACACGAGTCATATAAATGGATATGGAAAAAAAAACTCTTCACTATCGGATAGCTAGGGGGAGGCGGATAAAAAAATAGGCTGAAGTTTTGAGTCTTTAATATTAGGTATATATTGTGTCACTGTCCAATAGTTTTTTTCTTCAGTAGATTATTTTTTATTGCTTTGAACATAATAGATGTGATTGGTTGTTTGCATAATATCATCATGCAGTGTAAAGTCCAGTTATATTTTTTGCATGGTCCCTACAGGCCAACACCGTTCTTAAAACACCCACCGGTCCTGTATCCACCAAACTGGTCAAAATGGTCACGCCCACGGACCCACATACTCCATGCAGCATCGACTCTGCAAGCCAGTAACCTGTTTCCTGCATTTGCACTGCAACACCTACACCGAGGAAAATGTTAAGCGACAATGTCGCACCATGCTTCTCGTGAGACACCGTCCAAATGATCCGATGTATTCATGTTGAAAAGCAAATCTCGTCCAAGTAGCAGATCACGCTTGCGTGAGGAGAGCAAGGCCCTGAGTGCTCGTCTGGTTATTCGGCTGCTAGAACATGTGGTCAGGTTGTGTTCATTCGGACGGTGTCACATGGAAAACATGGTGCGACACAATGCATAGAATTTTTTCCCAGAGCATCGCCCATCACTCTCATCCCCCTTCCTCCATCTTGTGTCATCAGTGCCGCCTCTCTAAGATTTTCTCGCTTTTCACCATCTTCCTTCTCAAGCGCAGCCCGCAACGCAGGGGCGGACCTAGCCCGAAATTGAGTGGCGGCACTTTCTTGCTCAACTTCTGCAGCTACAGAAATAACGCTCCAATTCCCTTGAAAATCTGCCATCGAGGCAAGGCGCTACGCCTAGGCCAAGTCGCTGAGCCCCGACCGACAAGAGGGGTGCCCGAGCCAGGACCGATTCGGCCCTAGGCGTTCGGGGCCCGACTCGGTACCCCAAGCGCTTCTGACCGTCCACCCACATCAGCAAGTACGATAGGGAGACCGACCTCAACCACCGGCTCAATGACTACCGGCTCACGATGAGGGCTACGGGGTCGGACAACGACTTCGCAGTCCATTACCTGCCCTAGCTCCTATCAAGCTCGGTGAGGGCATGGCTCGAGCCGCTCGACCTGGGAAGCATCCGGAGTTGGGCCGACCTCAGCTCAGCCTTCGTTGGACACTTTCAAGGTACATGCACTCGACCTGGTAACTCTTGGGATTTGCGCAATTGCAGGCAAAAGTTATATGAGACATGGAACGTCAGTATGCACATGGAACGCGTGGTGTAATGTCTAGTACGAGCTTAGACTTCCTCTTAGACGGTGAAACCGAAGTTCTCGCTAGCTCGTGTGAGGTCCTTTCGATCCTTCCCCAGTACGATCAACTAGACAGGATATCTGTAGGCAACCAAATCTACGTAGTACGGAAGAAAAAAGATTGGACGGTGACGCAATAAATAAGGCCCCGTTTAGTTTCAAGCCAAAAACCAAAAATTTTCAAGATTCCCCGTCACATCAAATCTTGCGACACATGCATGGAGTACTAAATATAGACGAAAAAAAAACTAATTACACAATTAGCCGAGAAATCTTGAGACGAATCTTTTAAGCCTAAATAGTCCATAATTGGACAATTTTTGCCAAATAAAAACGATGGTGCTACAGTAGCCAAAAACCAAAAATTTTCGGAACTAAACGGGGCTAAATAGGACAAGGTGGATGGCGCAGCGTGTCGGAATCCGGATGGCGGTCTCCAGTGGATGCTTTTGATGTTTGGACAACAGTGGATGCTGAAACAAAACACTTCGCTGCTGCTGCTTGGCCTACTCCTCGTGCTCCTCATCAAGCTCGTTGTCGTTGACAAGAAGTACTTCCCGGCGGCGTCACTGTCGCAGCCCGGGAAGCCGCCGCTGCGCCTGCCGCCGGGTCCATGGCACCTGCCGGGTGATATCGGCAGCCTGCACCACCTCCTCTTGTCGCGCCACGGCGGCCTCCTGCACCTGACGCCGACGCTGGACGTGTTCAGCATCGGGGGGCGCGACATCCTCTTCTCACCCTACGGCGATCTGCGTGCTGGAGCTCTTCTCGGCCCACCGCGCGCAGTCGTTCCGCCGCATCCGGGAGGAGGAGGCTGGGAGGCTCTTGCGGTCCGTGGCCTACTCCTGCGCTGCCGGGCACGGCGGCAGCGCGGTGGTGGACATCGGCGAGCGGGTGTGCCGCGCCATGAACGACACCGTGGTGCGGTCGGCCGTCGGCGGGCGGTGCACGCGGCGGGACGAGTTCCTGCGCGAGCTCCACAGGGCCGTGGTGCTCACCTCCGGCTTCAACCTGGCGCTGTCGGAGCTGACGAGGAACCCGCGGGCGATGCGCAGGGCTCAGGCCGAGGTGCGGGAGGCCTTCAGGGGGCAGCAGAGGCTCACCGAGGCCGACACGGCGAGGCTGAGGTACCTGCCGCTGGTGGTGAAGGAGACGCTGCGGCTGCACGTGCCCGTGCCGTTCCTGCTGCCTCGGGAGTGCCGCGAGGCGTGCCGGGTGATGGGCTACGACGTGCCCCGGGGAACCAAGGTGCTGTGGTCAGCGCGTGGGCGATCGCCAGGGACGCCGCGTACTGGGACGACACCGAGGTGTTCCGACCGCAGCGGTTCGAGGG